TATAGAAAGACTTGTTTAAAGTAAAAAACAAAACAGAAACAAAACTTTGCCATGAGTTTTTGAAATGCGTGCAACTTTTTGTATGTGTTCTAGGAGGTAATACAGATTTTCATTGAAGACAACTTAACCTTGAGTTTACCTGTCCAGTTCCGACAGTCAGTACTAAGAGAACTCTTTCAGAAAGCTCAACAGGGGTAAGTGAGTAAGTTGAAAAATTACTTTTTGGTTTTTGAATAAAATAGCAATGCATTCTGGTTTATCAAAACCACACCTTCAAATCACTTTTATGACTCTGACATTATTTTCATGTTGTTAATATATGGGAAATAAACATAGCCAGAGGAGCCACTCTGGTGTTCCTCTATCTAGTCCATTTTAAAAGTGCTTGGAGGGGCCAGGCGCCTTGGCTCATGCCTGTAATCCTAACACTTTGAGAGGCCGAGGTGGGTGGATCAGTTGAGGTCAGGAGTTCAAGACCAGCCTGGCCAACATGGTGAAACCCTGTCTTTACCAAAAAATATAAAAATTATCTGGGCGTGGTGGTGCACGCCTGTAGTCCCAGCTACTCAGGAGGCTGAGGCACAAGAATTGCTTGAACCCAAGAGGTGGAGGTTGCTGTGAGCTGAGATTGCACTACTGCACTCCAGCCTGGGTGACAAAGCAAGAGTCCGTTTCAAAAAAAAAAAAAAAATGCTTGGGGGAAAATTATGTATAGCAGAATTTCATTCTGTTATATGTAACTAAATTGTCCCTTGATAAATTCAAAACCTGTCTGCTTGCTTTCTCCCCATGATTTGGTATATATTTATTAGTATGCTTGACTTGCTTGAATATCCTAAAATTTTACCTCTCAAAAACAAATGGCTTATTCTTGTGAATATAATTTTGTAATATACACTTTAATTTTACACTAAAAATAATACTAGTTGATCTACTTTTGTGTTCTACAGAAATGAAGCTCTAGATGAAATCTGTTTTAAAGTTTGTGCCTGTAATACAGTCCGTGATATACTGGAAGGCAGAACAATTAGTGTTCAATTCAACCAGCTATTTCTTAGACCGAATAAAGAGAAAATAGACTTTCTTCTTGAGGTATGACCTGTTTTTCTTTCCCCTTTTGATTTATAATTTGCTTTAAGCTTACCAGTAACCTCCAATCCAGTGTCTTTTTTTCTGTCTGCCTTGCCTTTCTGTGTTCGACAGTTGGCACTTTTGACAGATTATGCCCTTCTACCTTGTCTCCCACCGTAACTCTTTTTCTAGTTCTCCCCCATGTTTCCTGGGAACCTTTATTGGATTCTCCTCAGTCCTTCATTGACTTCTCCTTTGCTCTTCCTTTAGTGTTTCTGTTTATAGAACTTTTATCTTTGGCTCACTCATTTTTTATTTACTTCCAAAGCTTCACTTATTTGTTTCATCAGATGTTTACTAAGAACTCCCAAATCAAACCTCTAGTCTCTCCTGTGTGCTGTGGGCTCTGTGTTTCTACTCCATCACTCTACCTCTGTCTTAACAGTCTTAATGTTACAGATATTGAGAGAAATATATAAAGCACAGATAATACCACTTCCAAATACAGCGTTGCCAGCACTCTAGAAGCGTTTGTTGTGGTCTTTACAACTTCCTCTGCCTTCCCTTGAGGCGGCCACTGCCCTGGACTCCTGTGATCATCATTTTCTTGCTTTCTTTTCAGTTGTATCCGCTCTGTATGCATCCTGAAAGAACAATCTTTAATTTGCCTGTTTTGAACTTCATATAAGTGGAATCATACAATATGTGCTCTTTGTCTTCGTTCACTAAACATTATATTTGTGAGATTTATTCAAGTTGTATAGAAACACAATTTTTTTCATTGCTTTAAGATGTTAGAAAATTATATGGACCACGCCACAGTTTCTTCATTCTTATGATGGGAGACATTTGTGTTTTTTATAGTTTATGGCTGTATACACATACGATGATGAATATTTGTGTTTATCGTTTTTGCTGCTTGGAACATACTTGTACATGTATCTAGGTGCACATACGCACCAGTTTACGTTATATATCTCGGGAAAAGTATATCTGCAACATTAGTTTTTAATATCAAGTAGTTTGTACCACCAGCATGCCTGAGTGTTCTCATCGTTCAGCATCCTTGTTAACATTTGATATCGTCAGATCACCTGTGAGGTGGTTTTCTAACAGTACCTCATTGAGGTTTTCATTTCTGCAACTCTTCATTTAGTTTTTACTCATGGATTTTGTTTTTTGAGGTACCTTTTTCAAGTGTTATGCCTCTTTTTTTTTTTTTCCTTTCCTTTTTTTTTTTTTTTTGAGATAGAGTTCTGCTCTTGTTGCCCAGGTTGGAGTACAATGGCTTGATCTCAGCTCACTGCAACCTCTGCCTTCCAGGTTGAAGCAGTTCTCAGGCCTCAGCCTCCCAAGTAGCTGGGATTACAGGCATGTGCCACCACGCCTGGCTAATTTTTGTATTTGTAGTAGAGACAGGTTTTGTCATGTTGGCCAGGCTGGTCTCGAACTCCTGACCTCAAGGGATCCCCCCTGCCTCGGCCTCTGAAAGTGCTGAGATTACAGGAATCAGCCGCTGCACCCAGCTGTGTTATGTCTCATTTTTCTATTAGATTGTCTGTCTTTTTTCTGGAAGGAGCTTTTTTTTTTTTTTTTTGGGAGATCTTTATTTATTGTTTTTTTTTTTTTTCTTTTTTAACCAATTTTAAATATTGCAGGTATCTTCTCTGAGTTTCACTTTCAGTTCTCTCTCTTTTTTTCTGAGACAGGAACGCACTGTGTCGCCCAGGTTGGAGTACAGTGATTTGATCTCAGCACACTGCAACCTCCAACTCCTGGGTTCAAGCCATCCTCCCACCTCAGCCTCTTGAATAGCTGGGAATGCAGGTGCGTGCCACCGTGCCTGGCTAATATTTTGTATTTTTGGTAAAGATGGGGTTTCATCATATTGCCGAAGCTGGTCTCAAACTCCTGAATGATCCACCCACCTCGGCTTCCCAAAGTGCTGGGATTACAGGCATGAGCCACCCCACCCAGCTTAATTTTCTTTATATTGTTCCAAAGTTTAATATCAAACTTACCATTTTTTTCCTTTATGACAGTGATTTCTGTGTCTTAAGAAAGCTTTTTTTCTATCATGTCATGAATATTTTCTTCTGTGTTATATCTTCTAAAAGCTTTATAGCCTAGCCTTCCTTTCACATTTAGGTGTTTAATCAACCTACAGTTGCTTTTGTGTGAAGTAGGGTGAAGTAGGGAGTGTTCCAGCACCACTTATTGAAAGGTTAATCTTTTCCACCAATCTCTAGAACCATCTCTATTGTATGCCAAGAGTCTATACGTGTATGGGCCTGCTTCTGAGCCGTTTTGTAGCACTTGCTATTTGTCTGTCCGTACCTCATTATGTCTATGTCCTGATACCAATGAGAACAAGTTCCTCCACCTTGTTTTCAAGGTTGTATTGGTTGTTCTTGTCCTTTGCATTTTTATGTGTAAACATTAGACTCACATTGTCAAGTTTCATAAATCTGTTGAATGTTTGTTTGCAATTACATTAAATTTAGTACTCAGTTTGGAAAGAAAGAATATCTTTTTTTAAGCTTTTTTTAATAAAAAAATTTAATTGGCAGCCTCCCAAACCAAAGTATGCTCAGAGAGACCCCCCAATAATTTATATCTTTACATTATTGGGTGTCCTAATCCATGAATGGGTATGGCTCTTGATTTCTTTAGGTAGTCTTTAGTGTCCTTTAGAGCTTTCTAATTTTTACATAGAAGTCTTAAATTTTTTTTCATAGTTCTTTAAATGTAGACTTGAAAATAGGTCATGCAGCCGAGCTCGGTGGCTCACCCTTGTAACCCCAGCACTTTGGGAGGCCGAGGTGGGTGGATCACAAGGTCAGGAGTTCAAGTCCAGCCTGACCAACATGGTGAAATCCTGTCTCTACTAAAAATGCAAAAATTAGCTGGGCATGGTGGAGTGTGCCTGTAAATCCAGCTCTCAGGAGGCTGAGGAAGGAGAATCACTTGAACCTGGGAGGCGGAGGTTGCAGTCGGCTGAGATCCTGCCATGGCACTCCAGCCTGGATGACAGAGCCAGACTCCATCTCAGAAAAAAAAAAAGAAAGAAAAGAATTTGTGCATTGATATAGAAGTATAAGTGAACTTTCTAATAATTTTGTATCCAACAACTTTGCTTAGCTTTTAAAAATTCCGTTAATTTATCCATAAATTATTTTATTTTTCTATGCATGCAGTCAGTCATCTGTTAAAAATGCATTTTGTTTATTCCTTTTCTAACCTTTTAGTTTTGATGTCTTTTTACTTAATGTACTGGCTGTTGCCTACAGTGTCCAGTAGAAGTGTGAATAGTGAAGTGCCTCATCTCACTCCCAGTCTCAGAAGGAAAACTTATACTACTTCACCATTTAGAATGATGTTTATTGTAGGTTTTTCTTGTAGCTATCCCTTAGCTGATTATGGAAGTTTCCTTCTTTCCTTTAGTTCACTGAACGTCCTGTTTTTAAAATAATGAATTATTTTTAGATTCTGTAAATGTTTTTTCTATGTCTATTGTAATGATCACAATTTCTCTCTTCTTACCTGTTAATATGATAAAGCATAATTGATTTTCAAGTGTTAAACCTTTGCATATCTGGAATAAACCCAACTAGGTCATGATCTTTTTTTAAATGAAATTGCTGAATTTGATTTGCTAATACTTGTTTTTTTTTTCTATATTCATGTATGAGATTGATGCATGTATTTTAATTTTTTATTTTTTGAGATGGAGTCTCACTGTGTCACCCAGACTGGAGTGTAGTAGTTCGATCTTGGCTCACTGCAACCTCCTTCTCCAGGTTCAAGTGATTCTCCTGCCACAACCTCCAGAGTAGCTGAGATTACAGGCACCCACCACCATGCCTGGCTAATTTTTTTTTGTATTTTTAGTAGAGATGGGGTTTCACTATGTTGGTCAGGCTGATTTCAAACTCCGGACCTCAAGTGATCCTCCCACTTCAGCCTCCCAAAGTGCTAAGATTACAGGTGTAAGCCACCACGCCTGGCCAGTGCACTTATTTTTGTCTTTCTTGTCTTGCCTTTGATGTTGGTGTCAAGATCATACTTGTCCTGTAAATAAGTTGAGACATCTGTCTTTTTTATTGTCTGGAAAGTTTTGTGTAAAAAGTTACTTTCTAAGGATCTGTTCACTTCATCTTGTTTATTAGTATTAAAATTTATCTTTTTTTTTAGACAGAGTCTTGCTCTGTCTCCAGGCGCCAGGCTGGAGTGCAGTGGCATAGTCTCAGCTCACTTCAGCCTCTGCCTCCTGGGTTCAAGCAATTCTCCTGCCTCAGCCTCCCGAGTAGCTGGGACTACGGGCACGCACCACCACGCCCAGCTGATTTTTGTATTTTTTTGGTAGAGACAGCATTTCATCATATTGGCCAGGATAGTCTCGATCTCTTGACCTCATGATCCGCCCCCCTCGGCCTCCCAGAGTGCTGGGATTACAGGCAGAATTTGTCTTTTTAATATTAAAGCATCTACAGAGATACCCACTAGTTCGAGTTTTTCTTTTTAAAAATTGAGGTGAGTGAAATTCATATAACATGATCTGTTGCTTAACAAAAGTTAACATATGCTCCCTACATTATTCCATGACACATGTACAATGCATCTTACTATGTGAATAATCTTTTGTAAAAGAAGACTCAAATATTATTCACCATAATATCTTACACGTGGCAGCAAAGAAGCAAAATTATTAGAATGTAAGTATATTTCATGTACTCCAAGATATTCAGATGTTATTTACTGATAGGTTAATTTGTTAATCAGAAAATGGTATTTGAACATAGCAATTTTTTTTTTTTGAACATAGTAATTTTTAAATACTAGACTTTTTTTTGTTTTTGTTTTTTTGAGATTGAGTGTCCCTTTTCGCCCAGGTTGGAGTGCACTGATGTGGTCTTGGCTCACTGCAACGTCCGCCTTCTAGGTTCAAGTGATTCTCCTGCCTCAGCCTCCCCGAGTAGCTGACTACAGGCGCATACCACCACGCCCAGCTAATTTTTTTTGTATTTTTATTAGAGATGAGGTTCACCCTGTTAGCCAGGCTAGTCTTGAACTGTTGACCTCAGGTGATCCACCCTCCTTGGCCTCCCAAAGTGCCCACCAAGCCTGGCCTGTTTTTTTTTTTTTTTAACAGTTCCATTAAGAAATAATTCACATACCATACACCTCACACATTTTTAGTGTATAAGTCAGTGGTTTTTAGTGTATTCCTACATTTGGGCAACTATCACTTCACTTTTTTCACCCCAAAAAGATGATCTCTTAATCGTTACCTCTCCTCATTTTCCCTCAGCCCCCCACCACCTGAGGCAACTACTAATCTACTTTCTATCTATAGTTTTGTCTGTTCTGGATATTTTATATATATGGAACTATGAAATAGATGGTCTTTTATAACTGGCTTCCTTCACTTAGCATGTTTTTAGTATTGTAGCATGTATCGGTACTTCATTCCTTTTTATGGCTGAATAATACCTCATTGAATGAATGTGCCATAGATTTTGTGTGTCCATTCATTAGTTGGTAGACTTAAGGTTATTTCTACTTTCTGGCAACTGTGAATAATACTTCTATGAACATTCTATTTTATGTGTGTGTGTCAATGTGGAAAATATTTAACAATTTCTTGAGATTAGGGAGTTTTACACTGTTTTGGCTTCTTATGAATAATACATGGGGAAGAATCCTCATCTAATGAATAAATTCAAAATAATATTACGAAAATATTATTTGTAGATGACTAATATAACCATAACTAGTTTCTTTTCTTTGTTTGCATTGTTTACTTTTTAAACTTTGGTTAGCTTTTTAAATATTCATGAGCAACTCATGAATATAGAACCATGAATTCTGTTTTCATGATAAATCAGTCATTCAACCATTTTCTTTTTGTTTTTTTGTTTTTTTTTTTTTTTTGAGTCGGAGTTTCGCTCTTGTTACCCAGGCTGGAGTGCAATGGCGCAATCTCGGCTCACCGCAACTCCGCCTCCTGGGTTCAGGCAATTCTCCTGCCTCAGCATCCTGAGTAGCTGGGATTACAGGCACACGCCACCATGCCCAGCTAATTTTTTTGTATTTTTAGTAGAGACGGGGTTTCACCATGTTGACCAGGATGGTCTCGATCTCTTGACCTCGTGATCCACCCGCCTCTGCCTCCCAAAGTGCTGGGATTACAGGCGTGAGCCACCGCGCCCGGCTCTTTTTGTTTTTAAAAAATTTTTATTCAACTCTTCTGACAGGAGCTACTGATTTCTATGATTTATCACTTAATATAATTTGGCAACATACTTGATAAATTCTGTGAGAACCGTACAGCATGGTAGCTAGGTTATTCTTTGCTGCATGTATACACCTGCAGTTATTAAAACCGTACAGCATGGTAGCTAGGTTATTCTTTGCTGCATGTATACACCTGCAGTTATTAAAATGATCAGATTCCATTTCCCCTTTTTAATGGATTCTTACTCCTTGGTCTCATCTCCTGTTAAGTTACTTAACTAAATCTGTCATTGGTATATGATTGAGAAAGAAAAATTCAGTTGTTTTTAAATCTAACCTTTTCAAATTATAATCTACATTTTTTAAAGCACCCATATTCAAATGAAAATTACTCAAATTCCTAGGTATGTTCAAGATCAATAAATCTAGAAAAAGCTTCAGAGTCTTTGAAAGGAAACATGGCTGCTTTTCTGAAGTAAGTACCTTTATTTTCTTTCTTTTTTTTTTTTTGTTTAACTTTAAACTTAGTCCTGTGAAAAAAGTATCTGTTACTACTTTTGTTTTTGTTTTGGGTGTCTTATAACCAGGCAGTAACTGGGGTTTGAGAACCCATTAAGTTCAAATTTGTGTAGCCATGTAAGATGTTAGGATTTTATAGTTACCTTTTTTTGTGTATTGTGGCATTGACATCACAATTTTAAATAAGGACCGAAGGGAAATTTTAAAATCTATTTCAAAATATCATTATACAGTTTATGTAATGGTGGCTTTTTCAATCACTTATTAAAGTTCATTGATATGATTGTTTTTCTCAAACTAAATTATACACTTTTTTGTTTTACAATATTTCTTACTGATCTAGGAATGTGTGTCTGGGATTGGAAGATCTGCAGTATGTTTTCATGATTTCTTCACATGAGCTTTTCATTACATTGTTGAAAGATGAAGAACGAAAGCTACTTGTTGATCAGATGAGGAAGAGATCCCCTAGAGTAAATCTGTGCATTAAACCTGTAACTTCATTTTATGATATCCCAGGTTAGCTCTCCAGTCTGCCAGCTAAAATGTTGGCATGTTTTGTCCCTCTATTGAAATTACCATGGAAATATATTTGAGGATTCTCTCTTTGTTGTAATTAACACTTTTGTTGGTAATTAATAGAAATTCACCTGTCTTCCATATCAGATTTCTGTATAGGCAGTTATGTGCGAGCTCTGCTGAGCCGATGATTAGTGCAGAATCAGGCCTAGATACATGAAAGATTTTAGCTGGGGAAGTAGACCAAGGTAACACTGCTGCCAGTATGTTCATGCAGGTAACAACAAAAACGGGGAGAGGAGTGCAAGAGACGCTGGAACCAGTAGGAGGACAGACGTTCCTGCATGTCAGTCTGTATAACTCTGCTAGTATCTGCTGGCCAAACAGCTTTGGCAGTATTGCCATTTTTGGCTTATTTGTTTGTTTGTTTATTTATTTTTTCCATTTTTGCCTTTACAAATACAAGCAGAAAATACAATGCTATTTTAAAATAAGAAACATAAACTTCAAAATTTAGTATAGATGAGAGAGAATTCAGTTGGTTTTACAAAAGGACAATTTTAGCTTCTTTGACCTTCACTAGATTTAAACTGGTTGGCTGTCCAGTTGTAAAGGAAAAGGGTAAGGTTAATACATACAGAACTAGGCCGGGCGCAGTGGCTCAAGCCTGTAATCCCAGCACTTTGGGAGGCCGAGGCGGGTGGATCACAAGGTCAAGAGATCGAGACCATCCTGGTCAACATGGTGAAACCCCGTCTCTACTAAAAATAAAAAAATTAGCTGGGCATGGTGGCGTGTGCCTGTAGTCCTAGCTACTCGGGAGGCTGAGGCAGGAGAATTGCCTGAACCCAGGAGGCGGAGGTTGCGGTGAGCCGAGATCGCGCCATTGCACTCCAGCCTGGGTAACGAGCGAAACTCCATCTCAAAAAAAAAAAAAAAAAAAATACATACAGAACTGCTGGAAATGCTTAACTGAAGACTGCCTCTGATAGCTGAGCTGTAATTAGGGATTTGGGTAATTATTTTTGGGTCTCTGGGAAGAACATGCTCCCTTCTCTCTTGGAAACACATGCTTAATGTTTATTACTCAAAATTAACATTTTATAAATACTTTTGTTAGCATATTATGTTCAAAAGTAGGAATCTATGTTAATTCTTTTAATATATCCTGCATAGTTCTTTGCATGAACTTAATATTTTTATCTTGTTTATATTTTCATTATCTTTATTTTTAAAATGCATGCAATTAATAAATGTAGATATAACAAAATTGTGTTAGGTTATCTATGTGAGGTTAAAGTTAATATGTAATATACACTGTTGAATGAATCAGTTCTCAAGATGCTAGCAGCTTTTAATTTATAGATACAATAATTTGTCATTCTTATAGCTGCATCTTTCAATTAAATTGTTGAAACATAAATCTTTGTTTTAGCCTCAGCAAGTGTCAACATTGGTCAGTTAGAGCATCAGCTTATATTGTCAGTGGATCCTTGGAGGATTAGACAGATTTTAATTGAATTACATGGTATGACTTCAGAGCGCCAATTCTGGACAGTGTCTAATAAGGTAAGAAACCCTTTGTCAAGATCAGATAAGAAAATTGCCCTTGTTATTTGAGATAATTTAATAGAAAAGCTGTTCACTGACCTTTTTAATAAGGACCTCTTTTGCTTAACAGTTTTAAGACCTTCACATGACCATAATTGCATTTTTAAACATCCATTGACAGAGAAAGTAGAAAATGTCAGAAACAAAAAGATACCATTGAGTAACATCTAAATATGAGTTTTTCCATTTGTTGACAAAATATCTACATGCATTTTGTTTATGTTTTTGAGATGGAGTCTCTCTTTGTCACCCAGGCTGGAGTACAGTGGTGCTGTCTTGGTTTATTGCAACCTCTGCCTCCCAGGTTCAAGTGATTCTCCTGCCTCAGCCTCCCAGGTAGCTAGGTAGCTGGGATTATAGGCACCTGCCACCATGCCTAGCTAATTTTTGTATTTTTAGTGGAGATGGAGTTTCACCATGTTGGCCAGGATGGTCTTGAACTCCTGACCACAAGTGATCTGCTTGCCTTGGTCTCCCAAAGTGCTGGGATTACAGACATGAGCCACCATGTCCGGCTGCATTTTAAATATAATTGTAAATGTATGTAAATGGTATATTATTTATGCAGTCTGTAGCCAGTACATGCTGTGTGTTGTATAGGGTATTTTATTTTTGGTTTTTTAATACCCTCTTGAAATCTAAAGACTATAGTTTGGAACTAGTTCATTAATACTTCATTATAGAACATTTTTGGTTTTAAATGTTCCTTTAAAATCCCAGCTAATATATTTACCTGTTTCTGAGTTTATTTATTAGAAAGTTTTCGGCCGGGCACGGTGGCTCAAGCCTGTAATCCCAGCACTTTGGGAGGCCGAGGTGGGTGGATCACGAGGTCAAGAGATCGAGACCATCCTGGTCAACATGGTGAAACCCCGTCTCTACTAAAAATACAAAAAAAAAAAATTAGCTGGGCATGGTGGTGCTTGCCTGTAATCCCAGCTACTCAGGAGGCTGAGGCAGGAGAATTGCCTGAACCCAGGAGGCGGAGGTTGCGGTGAGCCGAGATTGCGCCATTGCACTCCAGCCTGGGTAACATGAGTGAAACTCCGTCTCAAAAAAAAAAAAAAGTTTTCCTGCATAGAAAGTGCAAATGGAAGTAGTTTTTAAGACACCATTTCAGTGGAATGTAGCTTAAAGATAGAAAGGAAGTAATCTTACAGATACAGGATAAATTAAAGCAATATGGTAATGCTCCTAACTAACTATATACTTACTCCTCCCCTGCTGAAGATGTAGTAAAAAGGCAGCCAGAAATATGTTTTTTTGTTTGTTTTTTTTGAGACAGAGTTTCACTCTTGGTGCCCAGGCTGGAGTGCAATGGTGCAATCTCAGCTCACTGCAACCTCCACCTCTCGGGTTCAAGTGATTCTCCTGTCTCAGCCTCCCGAGTAGCTGGGATCACAGGCATGTGCCATCATACCTGGCTAATTTTGTATTTTTAGTGGAGACGGGTTTCTCCAGGGAAGTCTCGAACTCCCAACCTCAGGTGATCCACTCAACTCAGCCTTCCAAAGTGCTGGGATTACAGGCATGAGCCACTACGCCCAGCCTTATTTTTTAAAACAGAGTTTAAACATACAAGCACAGAGAAGTGAAAAAAATTGCTCTAAAAATTAGTTGGGTTTTTTTGCTAATTTTTAGATTTTTTTTTTTTTTAGTATTGATGCTATTTATTAGTGTGAATTTTTAAGATGAGGGCAGATGCAGTGGCTCATTCGTGTAATCCCAGCACTCTGGGGAGCTGAGGTGGGTGGATCACTTGAGGCCGGGAGTTCAAGACCAGCCTAGCCAATGTGGTGAAACCCTGTCTCTACTAAAAATAACAAAAATTAACCGGGCATGATGGTGTGCACCTGTATTTCCAGCTACTTGGGAGGCTGAGGCAGGAGAATCACTTGAATCTGGGAGGCAGAGGCTGAAGTGAGCAGAGAGCACACCACTGCACTCCAGCATGAGCAACAGAGGAAGACTCTGTCTCAAAAAGCAAAAACCAAAAATTTTAAAGATGTACGAGTATAGCATAATAGTTGTTATAGGACATTCTGGGATTAACTGCCTGCTTTAGTTTGAATGTCAGCTTCATAATTAAATAGCTGTATAATCTTGAACAAGCTATTTAACTTCTTTGTGTTGCAGTTTCCTCATTTGCAAAACGATAATAGTAGCATAATAGTACTTACCTTAGTATCATTGTGAGGATTACCTGAATTAATATATATAAAACTCCTAGTCTTTGTGTCTTTTTCCTAACTAATCCTTCAGAAAGTCCCAATCCATTATTTATTACGCACTGATTGTAGTGAATGTTCATTTTCATCAGCATTATATTATGGCTGTCATTTTCCTTTCTCTTTAAGAGACCACCTATGAATTATTTTTTTTAGTGTGATTAAAGATTATTGAAAGATTCTTATCTAGATTTGGCTTTCTCTCTGTGTGTGTGTGTGTGTGTATGTGTGTGTGTATATATGTATTTTTTTGTTTCTTTTAGTGGGAAGTACCTTCTGTCTATAGTGGTGTTATCCTGGGAATTAAAGACAATTTAACAAGAGATTTGGTTTATATTCTTATGGCCAAAGGTTTGCACTGCAGTATTGTTAAGGTGAGTAAAAGTGTGTATCAAACACCTGTTAAGAATATGCTTTATGGGGCCAGGTGCGGTGGCTCTCATCTGTAATCCCAGCACTTTGGGAGGCCAACGTGGGTAGAAAAATATGCTTTATGGCCAGGTGCCGGGGCTCACACCTGTAATCCTGGCACTTTGGGAGGCTGAGGCAGGCAGATCAATTGAGGTCGAGACTAGCCTGAGCAACATGGTGAAACCCTGTCTCTAGCAAAAATACAGAAATTAGCTGGGTACTGGTAATCTCAGCTACTCTGCAGTCCGAAGTAGGAGAATCTCTTGGGAGTTGGAGGTTAGAATGAGCTAAGATTATGTCACTGCACTCCAACCTGGGTGGCAGAGCAATACTCCATCTCAAAAAAAAAAAAGTATATGCTTTACTAATTTTAGCAGGAAGTCAGGAAACAGAAATTCTTAACTTTTCCTAATCTCTAAAATTACTCATGGCCTAAAAGGATATTTGAAAAGGCATTCTGGTTTGTTCTTTTTCCTTTACCCTTGTAATTAAAATGGTCTTGATCAAATAAATAGATACTGCTCTGTGCCTTTTAAAAATTTAGAGAACATGCAAAGGTATTACTTGTAGAATTCAGTTAGTAAAGATTGTGTACCAGGATTAAAAAACAAAATTGTATAAAGTTACTTTTGTAGTGTATTTTACATGAGTTTGCAGTCTGGGATGTTGAAACTTAAGTGGAATGTTTAAATCATATAAAATAGTGCAGTTGCATGACTGATGAAACACGAAGTTCTGTAGGAAGGTTAAAGACAGCATTTGGAAGGCAGAAATGAACTAAAATTGAGGGTTAAATAAGTTATCTATGTCCCCACACCAGCAGCATCTGTGATATTTGGTAACTTTTATTTTGAGACAGGGTGTTGCCCTGTCACCCAGACCGCAGTGTAGTGGCACGATCACGGCTCACTGTAGCCTTAACTTTCCTGGGCTCAAGCGATCTTCCCACCTCAGCCCCCTAAGTAGCTGGGACCACAGGCATGTGCCACCATGCCCAGCTTATTTGAAATAAAATTTTTTTGTAGAGACAGAGTCTTACTATATTGCCCAGGCTGGTCTTGAACTCCTGGGCTCAAACAGCCCTTCCACATCAGCCTCCCAAAGTGCTAGCATTACAGGCATGAGCCACTAAACATGGCCAGAACTTGCTGGAAATACAAATTCTGGGGCCCCATCCTAGACCTAATGAATCAAATTCTGGGATGGGCACAACATCTTTTAAAATAAGCCCTCGAAGTAACTTTGTTGCATTCTAAAGTTTGAGAACTGCTGCTCTAGACCAACATTGTCCAGTGGAAACATAATGTAGGCCATGTATGTAATCTATAATTTCATAAAGTGAGGTTGATTTAAATGATTTATATAACTCAATATGTCTGAACTATCATTTCAACCTGTAATTGATAGAAAAAGTTGAGATGTTTTGCATTCTTTTAAAAATATATGTGCTAAGTCTTCCAAATCCAGTAACTATTTTATACTTTATAGAATCTCTCAATTTGGACTGGTCACATTTCACATGCTCAACAGCCGCATCTAGCTAGTGGCTGCCATATTGGACAATGCATCATGAGACAATTGTAAGCCATTGAAAAGTTTTAATGGGGGAATGTAGTTAGCAGTTCTTCTCCTTCCACACCTAACATAACATTTACTGGGCACAGAGACTGTTCTGCAATTTCAAAGACATCTGTTATTTCATTTATTCACGAAAAGTTTGTGAAAGGTATGATCTCAGTTTTAAAGGTATTACATTCTCCAAGGGCACACAGCTAGTAAGTGTCCCAAGTGTTTGAAGGGATAGAAGAAAACATATTAGCGAAATATTTAGGAGGTAAAATCTGGAAGCAATTGGTAACTTATTTAATCTCGAAGGCAAGAGACAGAAAGAATTGAGCGTGATGCTCAGACTTCTGGTTTGGGAGTCAGAACAGGTGACAATGCCAGCAAGTGAATGTGCAGAAGCACATTTTTGCAGAGCAGATAATGAGTCTATGTTTACAATTTTAATTTGAGGCTATGGTTGGAAACAGCCTGAAGCTTGGAGAATGTCTGGACTGGAGTTACAGATTTGGGAGTTACCAAAGATCACCCAGAGAGAATATAAAGAGCATGAGACCCTAGGGAATGCAACACTAGGTCCAGGAAAGAGTGGTGTGATGGGTGTGAGGAGCAGACAGATGTAGAAGGTGTAATTGCTAGGGGAAAAGAAAATGTCAGGAAAAGGGTGATACATAGCACCGAGTTGCAGCTCTTCATTCCTGTGCGATAACAGACAAGTGTTCAGTAGATTGGACGATTAAAAGATCTTTGGCTTATGAGAGCTATTTCTTTGTAAAGATGGGGGTAGAAGCCAGATGATTGGAGTGAAGTATGTGGAGAAATAGAATCTAGTCTCTGGAAACATGTGAGTGAGATGAGTAGAAAAGGACTTAGATCATAGCTGATTTAATTTACTTGATTTGTTAGCCAATTTTATAGGCTAGTGGGGTGGTGTGCGAAGATTTTAGAATGTGCAACCCTTGAATGGTCTGTGATCTAATTCTGAATATGTTGGATGGAGAAGGGTGTTTGTAATAGAATTTTATACCCATATAAATATGGAAGTCTTTGGTTATTTTATAACTTTTATAAAACTTGTTTAACCATACAGCATGTATTTTATATTGTTTATTGGATTTTTTAAATTACAAAGGTATTAAATATTTATTGGAATAAATCAATAATACAGGGATGATGAAAAGAGAGCCTAGCATCACTACCTGAGATAAGCAACATTAACCGTTTGAATTAATCCTTTTCCTCTTTGCTCTGTCATC